TTCAATAATTATTATTTATAATACATAAGTAACATGGTTGATAAAATTAGCTCTTATTAAATTTAGGCTTATGCCCAACGTACAATCGAACTACAAAAGCTAGAAATTTCAGCAATTAAAGTCGTGTGCGAGTTAGACTAAATTGATGCTAAACCAAATGGGAGATTTTTTGGGATTTTATGCACTGCACACATTTAGCCAATTATCAACACATATCGACACATCACTACATTATCGGCACAACTTAGAATTTCCCTCATTTGGAACACAACTTAGCCTAACTCGCACACGTCCTAAATGTATCAAATACATTACTTAATAAGTGCACAGAATCAAGCTATAGTCGCAGGCTATTGTATTTCATACAATTGGACTACAGTGAAAATAATTAACTACTGTAGCGCATTACTGTAGTTTAATCCTATTGAAAAATTTTTTTCGCTCCTTAAAATATGCAATTAAATTATAACTAAATTTCACAACAGACATTTTTTTAAAATTCACTACCGGCGAAGGAGAAAAAATCTTTTTTTAACTGATAATTTTATAGAATACTTATTAAATATTTTAAAAATAATTTGTCTATATTATTAATTTTACTTTTAACAACATCTAATTTTAAAATACTTGAAACAGCGTACATAATAAAATAAAAATATTTGCTGAAAAGTTATATACTCATTTATTAAATTTTTTCTGGAATTATCAAAATTAAAGCGTTTTTTTTTTGTTATAAGACAAACGACCGTTGCTTAAATATTACACAACCATTTATTTAATTTACTTTATATTATATTTAAACTCAGTTAAATATTATTAAAACCAAATCAGATCAAATTATTTTCAAACTTTTTAATTGCAAGAAAAACCAGTTGGCAAAAAAACCTTACTGCCGAAAGTATAAAGTATAATATTCTACTACAATTTCACTACATTTAATTCATATTATTTATGTTAATATCATTATTCATTGTAATTTATTTATTTTTTTGTTTTTGATTCAGTTTCGCTACAAAAGGTTTCAACGGAATAAGTTTTGTATATCAACATTACTTTCTTCTAATTGTTTTATTTCTATATATATTATATTTTTATTTCTATTCGTTTTTAAAATTGTTTTGTATTTCAAATTTTTCCCTACAAATTTTGTTCAATTTAAATTTAATTTATTTTTTTTTTTTGGTTTTTACTTTAAGTTACACTTTCACTTTCATTCTATTAATTTATTTTTTGTATCGCCATTTTGATTTCGCCATTTTCAAATTTGTTCTATACTTGTTTTGATTATTGTTTACAAAACGCTTTTGTCATTGTTTTACTTCACCCAAATTTTGTTAGAACAGATATTTTCAAATAGTTTTAGTTTTATTCTATATAAATCTATGTATCTCTTAGGTAACGAAAAGGTCTATGAGTATTTGCATATAATTTTGTTTGTGTAGAGGTTAAATTTTGGCTTTTATGAAATAATATTTCAATTCTACAAACATTTTGTTATCCCTTTAGTTAGTATATCAATTTTAAATCAATTAAACTACATTTTAACTGAACTTTATTTCATTCACACGAAAAAACTATCTGTACCTTTTTTCTTTAAATTTTGAGCTGTAATTTCAACAATATATATCTCTAATTTTTTGTTGGTTATCTGTTCGAAATTTAGTTTCATTTTGATTAGTTTAAGGGTTTAAGGAATCAACTTCTAATAATTTAGGTAAGTTTTGTATATTCGCTTTTCTAATTTTGCACAAAAAAATATCGTTTAACACGTTTTATTCTACATTATGGTCGATTTTTCGTTATTCACAAAGAAACACACTTAACGATCGAGTTTAATATACTATTTCTAGTAAATGTTTATATAACATATATAATGTTTGTATATTGTATACTATACTGTTGTGTATATAAGCGAATTTCGTTAAAAGGTTTTATCTTTTTTTGTTTCGGTTTTTCTTTACGATTCATTTTAAAATTAAATATCGCAGGCTGTTTACGAGTATCATTTTTATTCTAAATACAGGGTGTTTTTGTACGATATTACTTTATACATGTGTCTTATGTTTTCGTGCACATTTTTGTACAAATGAGTCAATGAGATTTGATATATATTATTTTCTTAAGTCTGTTTTAGAATTCATGTGTTTCGCGGTGTTGTAAAATACATATAAATAATATTATATATATCTCGTTATATGTATATATAAATGTAATACACTACCATATATATATATACTACAATACATAATATATAAGCCCGTCATAGTACGTTATACATATACTTAGAGTTTCTATACATGAAAAAAAGAACTAAACAGTTTATAAGAAAAGAGAAATGTATGGGCTTAGATTCGTAGCAGACGGAAACTATAATGCCAAACACCTATATTTGGGGTCACGATGAGAGATGCCTACAGGACATCCATTTTTCAAAGCTGTACACTCAAGCTTTAATCCAAATGATTCAAAAAAAAAGGATCCTGTATGTTAAATTGACTTTTTTGTATATAAAGGTGTGACAAGATAAACTACAATGGATATATACCTGCATCTTTTCACGTCCTATCCACAATTTATTTCAACTATTAATTCCTATATTAATAATAAACAAGACTTATAAGTATGCACAAGTATCACTAAAGTACGATATAAACTAAAACCGATGTAGATGTAACTATCAAACCGTTCAAAAACTATATTATGGTATCAATAAAAAATCTTCCTAAAAAACTCCTAGTAAAAACCCTTAATTTCTCAAAAATTGTTCAACTTACTAAAAAGATATTAAATATCTTTTAATTTGATAAACTCATCTGATTTTTTACCTAACTGGGTTCAATAGTTATAATATTTCCAAATAAATTTTTTTTTTGTAAATATCGGCTTTTTTTAAACATGAGAATTTGAACATATTTTATAATTGTTTTTTAACTTAATGAACGATTTTTACAAAAGAAATGTCCAATGGACCTCTAGTGAACTATTTTCTGCTTTTTTGGTAGAAATTTTATATTGATTAATAATACAGTTGTTTCAGATATCGTCAATGGCCTTTGAAAATATTTATTCAGATTTATTTTCCTTAAATCGTTTCTAAGATGCGAATCCTAGGAATCAGCCATGAACCTCGTCAAATCTGAAATGCAGTCTAGCGTAACAGACTCAGCATAATCTCGTATCAGATTTGTATTAAATTTTATTTAATTGTTGTTGTAGTTACAAAAAACAACACAGCAATAATTATTTATTTAAGTTTGAGGATTTCGTTCCAAAAGTACCATATATTATATATTATGTATAATATATAATATATCAATTTTTAAGTAGTTAAGTGCATAAATAAAATTAAACAAAAAGTTCTGCAATTAAAAAGTAATTAAAAAATAAACAAAAGTAAAAATAATATTCATTTTATTGATTACTTAATTTAATAATATTTATAATAAAATCTTAAACAAATTATTTTGAATTGATTTTGTATTATTATTTTTACAAATAAAATTTATCACTTATAAAAAAGTTTAAATTGCAAATTTAATAATAAAGGCAAAAAACATTTACACATTTTATTAATATTATAAAAATACAAAATTAAAAACTTTAAAATATGAACTATGTATAGAAAACATAAAACATAAAAAAAATTTTTTTAATTAATATTTAATTTACAAAAGTTGACAATATGTTCTAATATTAAAATAATGCCTAAGAAGAAGTAGAGGCGAGCGACACAAAATAGGAATCATTAGATTGTATATATTTTTTTTTGTTTATATGAGTAATTCAAAATATTTAATAAACTTTAATATATAACAATTAAAATTGATAAAAATAATATAATACAGTTTATAAAGAATAATTACAAAAAGAAAATTAAAAAGTATAAATAGATTATTAATAGTACTGGCATTTCTGAAGAAAACTAAGCAAACACTTGAAAGAACTAAGTAAAAACTTGAAAATTTAAGCAAAAACTTAAGAAAAATTAAAAAGTATAAAATTTATTTTAAAATTACTGACCAAAAAATATGGAACTTTGGCTAAAATATTATGCCAATATGTTTTTCCTTATGGATGAATGCCTAACCCAAACTGACTGCGATGAGGTAAAAAGTTGAAAAATTTTTAAACAAATGTAGATCTCTCACTTTGTTAATTAAATACTTTTGCATGTTTCTGACATAAAATGTACTTAGAAATGATAGCCCAATTGTATTCATTGAGTTGAGAATCCTTAAAAAAATATTTTTTTCTCTTCAATTTTTTTTATTTTCAATTTAATTAGAAAAACTGTTTAATTGCTTTTACATACATTTGTATATATATATAGACGCATGTGGGTATGTGCGTGGGTAATGCCGTTTTTGTGGATGTTGTGTAAAAATGGTGTTATTTAGGGGTAGTGCTATCGTTCGTCGAGGACCTGTGGGGCCTTGAGGCACGTATTTGACTTTTACTTAGTTCTCTTTTCTCTAATAATTGTTTTGTTTCAGTTTTATTGCTTTATTTTCCTTGCGTGTTTTTCATTTTTTTTTTGTTTTTATTTTAATATTTTTTTTCTCTTGTTTTGTTACTATTTTATTTTATTTTATTTTTTCTTCATTTTTCAAATATTTATTCACCTGTTTTAATTAATTTTTTTTTATTTTTAATTTGAATTGCATTTATTATGCTTAATTTTGTTTAAAATTCATTTTCTTATTTCTTTATATTTCTTTTTACTAAAAATTCACAATTTTTTCTTTCACATTTCAATTTCATTCATTTAAATTTTCTTAAAAACTTAAATTAATTTTAATATTTCTAGTTTTACACATATTTTTTTGTATTATTTATTTTGTTTTTATTTTGTTAAATTTTTTCTTTTAAAAACAATTTCTTTTGATTTTTTGTAAAAACATAAATTTTAATAATTTTTATTAACATTAAATTTAATATATAAAATAAAATAAAAACTTATTAGAACAAAAAATAAGACAAAAAACTATTTAAACACAAAATTATTTATCATTTATGGCTGCTGCTAACAGTAGAAACGTACACCGTCCACTGAAAGGACTTGCTTTAATTTTCATTTGTTCTGCCGATTTGGTTCAGGGAACAGGTGAATACCTTCCACTGTGAATATTGATGTTTCTGTAAGAGATAAATTAATATTAATGTTTTAAAATTATTAATAACTATTAATAAGTTCTTATTTATATATAGCAAATAGGTAGATATGTGGAGCTGGCTGAATGGGACGACATATAGATCGTCTAAATGTTATCTATATATAAATATATATGTATATTTATATACATACATATAAAAAGTAGCTTTAAAATAATTTATTTTTTATGTATTAATAAGCACACGGATGATAAAATATAACAACATCGAAGTGGAGTTATATTAGAATTTGCGATTTTTTTAAAATCAGACTTTCATTTTATATTGTGAATGTGTTGTGAAGTTCTTACGAATTTATTTAACTAATGTATTTAATTAATTACGAATTAAAAGTAGTTTTTATTCCATTACTAAAATAAATTTATAAATATATGAAACAGTTTTCGTTGATTTTTAATATGATTCCATGTCATATTAAATGTTTCAGTAATATGGATTGAACTCAATTCACATAGACCCGATTTAACGGGCACATTATTATTTAGTTATGATTCAGTTTCTGTTGTTAAAATAAATATATTCAATTATATATAATATATATATATATATTTATGTAATTATATATATAAATTTATATTTATATAAATTATATAAATATAGTCAAACTTCCATAACTCGAACTTCTATAACTCGAATTCTCTATAACTCGAATTTTCTATAATTCGAACTAAGTAGACTGCAACAGCGTTTAGAGAGCAAATTACATACAATTACAAAACATTCTTTAACTTGAAGTCTCCATATGTCGAACCTTTTCTTGGCAAAATGGTACTCCGAGTTATGGATGTTTGGATATATATAAACTTTTTTCGATACTTTTAAAATGACCCTAGCGGTCCGAATTTTTCAGTAGTATGGATTAAACTAGTTTTAATACACCAAAATTGATGAAGCTTCACTATAATCTTGTTATGATGTCTTTTAACATGTTTTAAGTTTTATTTATATATTTCAATCAAGCACATTTGAATTTTAATTTAATTAGATTTTAAGGTCAGTAAAAACTTGTTTTCAAGATTCATTATTATTATGAAGAACACATTTATCTGAACTCTTTAAATTTCTATATGTTATTCTATAAACCATTCTTTTAGACTTCAATAAATACTATCCTTCTAAAATAAATAAATATATGTATTTCAAAAATGAAGTCATTATTGACATAGTTTTCTGTTGTTTATGCATTAAATTCTATTTGAATAATAAATGACAAGCCATAAATACAACACCAAATAGAGCATAACGAGGCAACCAATATTTAACAATTCACTCAACTCATTAGTTTGCATAATCAAATTAATGAGACCCTCATAAATTAACTTTCAAAGTAGGTAAATATTTATTGAAATGACATGCAAAACCGCAATAACGCATAATGCAGATATTGAATTAAACTTAAGCGGTTTCATGTTGTGCTCAACATGTTTAGTGTCCTAATGCCAATAGTAAAATAGTCAAATAGTAAAATGCATACTAAATAATAATAAAAGGCATACTAAAACGCCCATACGCACTCACGCCCCCTAAACGCCCACTTGTGAAATCAATTGATATCTTATATACATAATTATAAAATTGTTTCAACCCAAACAGCAATATCATTAGCATCTAGTATGTCTCTGTCCTTGTTTCTGACTATCTGTCTGTCTATTTGGCTGCCTATCTATGTCCGTGGAACACTGTCAGAGTGTACACTTCGCACATAATTCCGTTGTTTAATGCTTGTCAATTTTCAAATTGTTGGCAGTAGCAGATAAATTGCGGTTTTTTCCTGAAATCAGCGTTTATACTTCCGCGTAGCACAGAAACGGAAGTAATCGTTCCTGTTACCATTTCACAGTACAAAGCCGCCATTTTTGTTGGAGTAGAGCAATACATCGACTACTGCTGCTGCTGTCATTGCAGCAGCTGTGCGCGGAGTATAATTTTATGCTGTCAACATTTAATTTTTATTTAATTTTTATTGTTCGTTAAAGTATTTTTCTCTTGTTTATTTTTTTTTTTTGGTTCATTATCTGTTATCTTTTTCTATTTTCTTTTATTTTTTAATTTTGTTTTTTTTTGGGCTTTCCGCTTATGGTTTGGCGCTCCATAGCTGATAGTGGTGTCCTTACTATGTTGGGTACTCTGTGCAGGATCTACAATACAGTGTTGCCATAATTAAAATTTTGGTTTAATTGACCACGATTATGAGAGTCCTTATTAATTCGTACAAGCTTAGCAAAGCATGACGGAAGGACGAAACGGTGTGTGGTTTCATAAATTAATTTATGCTTTTCGAAATTTATCTCTCTTAATGTTTTTCTATTATCTCTAAAACAAATTTTTGTTGCCATAATTTAACATTCATATATATTTTACTATATTTTTAAAATTACTAATATTACATTTTCAAAATAATTTTAAATTATTTAACGATTAGAACAAATATATATGTGTATGTTTTTATAAATTTACATATCCTTTAACTCATTCTAATAGTAAAAAAATGGCTGTTGTTCACATATTTAATCAACTACAATAGTTTTACCCAATAATCCTGGCACATGCACTTCCACTTTTACATCAATTTGGGCTAAATTTAATAATTACTATTATATCCTTATTAGTCGCATATGCTAAGGATATGTGAATTGAGCTGAGTTTAAATGAATTTCGACACAGTTGCTGCGCTCGCTACTGAAGTAGAAATTTATTAACTCATTTCAGCAGTGAAAAACTGCATATTTTTCTTTCCAAAATTAATTGTTATTTTGCACAAAATTCTATTTAATTAAATTTTAATTGGATTATAGAGTTTAGTAATAAATTATGCAGAACAAAATTGAAAAATTTAAATAAAAAGTAGAAATTTATGTTACATTGAAACTAGCAGAACCCGAAAAATTATTGTATCTAAAAGTTAGAAGTATACTTTATCAAGAAAAATCGATTAGTTATGAAATAAGAATTTAAGAATATAGAATAGGACCAGAAATATGTTTCTGAGAAAATTTATTCAGATATAAACATTCCTTATATACAAAACATGGAGTTAGGCTTCTAATAAATGGATAATTGAGATCATTGTAGGGTCTCAACATTAAAAAAATGTGTCAGATATGCATCATATATATTCATTAACAGGATTACAAGACGATTTAGTGATTTTCGGTTGACTGTATGGTTGTTGATCTTACAGTTTTTGAATAATCGAATAAAACTTGACATGGTAAGTATTCGTTAATCCGAAAATTGCCCAGATTGGACAAATAAATCGCGAATATATAGTGGAAAAGAAGAAAGTGAAGCCAGAGAACTGACGCACGATAGAGTCATATGTGATTCAAGTGCTCAAAGCGAAGAGAAAGGAGAATCAAAAACTAGGCTAATAAATAGTACAGACACCATGAAAATGCGGTGAAAAAATGGAGATCTGGACACAGATCGAAAATCACAAGAGCATAACTTGAAAATGCCAACATAATGCGAAAGTGGTCCAGAGTGGGAATAAGTCTTGCCGAAGAGGGAGTGCTTCATATCGTATACTACATATTAATGTTAGGAAGTCGGGCACGCCATTCAGGCAACAATCACTTTGACCTTCTTCACTCTACTGTTCACAAGAAACATGCTTAATAAATGTCACTGAAAGTGTGTTTCAAATGATACACTTATTTGCAAGTAGGTGACACTAGTAGCAATGAAAGATTAACTATATTAAACTGTCGAGATAAAACCACATGGATTAAATCATGGCATGATCACCATACTTTTTGTTCTGCATTTTCCTTAATCATCGGTTTATACGTTTATTCTTTTCAGAATAAAATGTGAAATATATATTCAGTTATAGTTTGACTTAGTAACAGACTAATAGACATAGGTATATTAGTTTTGCATATAAACTAACAGACATCTGTTAATCTCTGCACAAAGGATATGTAATAACAAAATGACATTAGGTTTGATTTTTAATTGAGGTGTGTACTGAGCTTTAGAGTTAGAGTTTTTGAAATATTTTTCAAGTTCTCTTTTGACGTCTCCCTTCCACAGGTACAATTTACAATTTTTTCAACCTGAATTTTTTCCATCCTGACCAAGAGATTGTCAAAGACTAGTCCATGCTTTTAGTTCATACTTATCAGTCCATACTTATCTTATGTTTTTTATAAATGCAGTTGTTTCTTGTAGTTTTTCGTGCTATTGTATTCTTATTTTTTCCACGTAAATATCGTTTTTACTACTGTTTTATACTCGCATATGGTTTATTCTTTTACAAATCTCATGCCCAAATGATTTTTTATGAGCTTCTTTCATAAAATTAGATAATCTATATCTCAAATAAACATTTTGAATTTTTTTTCCTGTCTCAGTTTTTCTCAGGAAAAAATTTTGAATTTTATATATCTTTTACTCTGTATATTCATATATTCATTTTAGCAAATAATATCCCATTAATATTCTGACACCATCATACCTCCTTCTCACTTTATTTTGAATTCCATTGTCGTATACTTCTTTTTTGCAATTACTTTTGTTGCAGACATAGTATTGGGTTCGTTGATGATATGTAGGATCTATGGAGGAACAGTTGGTTCTTCTAGTAATTTCAATATATCATCAAGCCTGAGACGAAGAAGACAAAACAAGGATGAAGAAGAAGATAATCAAAAAAAAAGAATTTACCGAATTAAACTGTTAGCAAAAGTTTTGAGTGAAGAATGATGTAAATTAATTGACTTAACTATTAAATTATGGAAAAATAGATTTAATACAACAAAACTTTCAGTCAATATGTCTGTCTTTAGATTAGAACCAAAGTTGAATTGGTATTGAATTGGATACGCATTTCGAAAATCTGTGAACTATCATGTTTTCGAAATATGAAAGCAGTTCACTAGAACCCTCAGGGATTCCAACTTCTGGGTGCTTCAGCCTAAGCATGGCGCAGAACCATTGATGTTGAACTTAACTCCGCAAAC